CAAGCCCGAAGGCGGCAGCCTGGCCACGACTTTCAAGATTTTTCTCCTCTTTGCAGGACTGATGGTTAAAGTTCCTGTGGGCTTGTATTTTTCCTGCAAATTGCTTCTTTTCCAGAGTCTCCTGTTAATGTCTCCTGACGACAGTGGCTTTTACGCGACCATTGTCGCGGTGGTGGGGCTGCATGTGGTGCTGGCGGTGTTTGTGTTCATCGTGTGGAAGGAGGGCATGCCTGACTGGCAGGAAAGCAAGAACGAGTAGAGCAGCTCGGAGGCTGCGAACGCGGGGGGCGGGGGAGTCGGGGGGGCTTAATTTTCTCGTCCGTGTTGACAGTCGTGTCTGTTGTGCGCTTCGGGGGGAGGGAATCTATTTACTGCAGCGGAGACTCCGGTAAAACCGCGGGGGGGCGGGGGGGGGCTTTTTCCTGACCGCCTGTTGCGCGCCCAGTGCTTTCTGTTCAAGACATAATGCTTGAGACTGAGGATCCTGTCGGGCTGATGTAAATAGTAGCGCCCAAATGGGAAGCGGGCCCGAGGCCGCGCTGGCTCGTACGCGTGGACTTGCTCGCCTGCGCAGTGTGTGTGGTGACGTAGCTGCGCAGGCTCGGCGGGAGCGCCCGCGGCCGGCGCGCCGGTAAGTACCGCGGCGGCAGGGGGCTGCGCGCCGGGGGTTCGCGGACAGGTCCGCTGGGGCGCGCGTTGGGGTCCGGCTGTGGGCTGGTGGGCCCTGGCATCTCAGTCGCCGCATTTTTCGGTATTATTTTAGGTGAAAATCGAGGCGTAGTTGTTAGCTTAAGACCGCCCGAGGTGCGTGCGCTGCGACAAGGTGCCGTGGATGTAAATTACTGCGGGCTCAGATTTTGGTGCGTTTTTCTCCGCAGTGCGCATTAAACAATGACCTCATTCTGACGCAGTTGAAGGACGTGACTCCCATCGACAAATGGTTTTTTTCCCTCCTGTTTTCCATTTGTTTTTCAGTAGCATTTGGTAAATCTTGGCAAATAGGTACGAAATTCTAAGGGAGCAATACCCACTCGTACAGTGGAATTTTGAGACCAGTATTAGATTAATTTCCACTTTTTGATTGGAAATTCATATTGTTGGTGTTAGATGAATATTAGAAGCTTCAAGTTCACATTTTGCCTGCTTTATCTGTTGGTTATTTGTAGATTTTATACGTGGGCCATTTTTTTATTAGTAATCTTAGAAAAATGTGTATTTTGCTGTAGGTTTAATGGATTCATCAACACTCACCTAGTTTCGGACCCTTAGTTTGATACTTGATTTGTGAGTGGAGGGAAAATACAGTAAAACGGACTTAGACTAAGGAAATGTTTACTCGTTCTTTAAAAGCCAAATAAATCTGGAGTAAGAAACACACAAAGTGTCTTGGGCTTGGTCCCATTTTTGCACCTAAATGCTCTATGTAATTTTTTTCCTCCAAAAGATGCATTCTACACGTGTGTAAAAATATACTTAACGTGAAGTTAGGTCTTGTGAGATAATCTAGACGTTTTCTCCCTTCTGAGCCTGAGGGTGTTCCTTTCTTCCCAATCCCCTCCCCCTGCAGATTATCTTGTTGTCCTGAGTCCTCCCACCTCCTTGACCACCACTGAGAAGGGACCTCTCCTCAGCTACCGTCCTTTCCTGACACCTACCCCCCTCCAAATGGATAGATTGTATATATCTGACTTTAAAAGTAGGACTCACTGATTGATTCCCACCCCAACCAATCTTTTATCTTCAGTGGTTCTGCTATAGAATTTTGGTGAGAATGCAGATGAAAACGAAAATATTTTATTCCCTGTGTCATGTCTGTTTTAGCCTCATTGATGCTACTCACAGAGATGTGGATGTGCTGTTACTGCTTTCTAACTCTGCCTACTACGTGGCCTAGTAAGTTGCTTATTGATTTAAAGCTTTTAATTGTCCTTTAATATGAGTATACATTTCCTATTAGAGTTCATGACAACATTAAGAATCTGGTTTTGCTATATGGAACTTAACTTTACATACTGTTACATCACTGTTCCTCTTATCAGTTTGAAAATGTGATTTTAGAGTTGTAATCAGTGTTTATATAATATTCTTTTAGCATTTAATTTCCTATATATTTTCCATGTTTTGATGTACTCCATATCCTTTAATGAGTATACATTTTTTATTACTATCCAGTACACGTTTCCCCATTGTTTAGCACTGATACTTCCATTTTATTTCTATTAGCAATGATACAGTTGTCTTTGTGCAGATAATTTTGTGCACATGCATGCACACACATGCTTCTCTTTGGTTACAAGAGTATGATGAATTCTAATAATTGTGTGGTTTATTGCCAGATCTCCAGAAAGACTACTAATTAACAATGCCACTAGCACAAATACAAGTACTTTCTCATTTGCCTTACCAAAATCAATTTTTTTCTCTAAGTAAATACTTTCTTTTTGGCCTTGTATGAACAGTCATTGGCCCCGGTGCCCATTGGCATTGATCATATGGATTTTTTATTCTTGATTTTGGACAGCAGGTTTATCTGCTGTGTTATTCACAAACACATACCTTCAGTATACGTATGTGTGTGTTTGCCTTCCTTTTAGGTTAAGTTTTAGGTTTGTTGGTTTTAAGTTATATTTTGTAATTGATTTTAGTGTAAGATGTATAAGCTGATTCTCCTTTAGCTACTGAACTACATATATGTTAATCTCATTTCATCTAGTTTTTAAAATGTTTAACTCTATCCCAGAGTGTATTGAGCCCTGGAAGATTTTAACTGCATAGAAGTTGCTACTATTATATCTCCGCTGACAAGCCAGATACGCTTTTGATTTTAATCCTATTTTTTTTTTTACTTCCTTTCCCTTTATCCAGTTATGATGATGAAGTTGATAAAGTAAACCAGTATCAACGACTAAGTCTAGAAGACCTGGAAAAAATAGAAATAGGTAAATTTTAACATGCTAACCAAGTCCTAGAAAGCAAATATTGTTCTCCCAAGAGTGGGCCACATTGTTTGAGCAAGCATTACAACTTAATAGAACCAGAAAAGGATACTGATATTGCAAGTAGTCTATTTCTTAGGACTCTATTCTTTAGAGATTAGTGGTAGATGATAGTCTAATAACTCTTTTATTACTTACCTTGTGAAGATTAACCAAGGATCAAGAAAGTTTAAATATTTGAGACTAAAGAAAAGTTTTTTAGTCTCATCAAACCAAATCATCTTACTGTGATGATTGTATTTTGTGTACTCTCATTTAGAATAAGAAAAATGTGCTAAATACCTAACCAATGAAGATACAGAAAAAAGTAAATTTTATGTGAAAGATTTAACCATACTCATTTGGGTTTTAGGTCCTGAACCCACTCTCTTTGGTAAACCGAAGTTCTCCTGCATGCGATTGCACTACAGATATAAAGAAGCAAGTGGCTATTTCCACACACTGAGAGCTGTAATGCGCAATCCAGAAGAGGATGGGAAAGGTAATGAAGAGAGGACAGTATTCAGTGGTAACTTTTGTGGGGACAGTACCTACCATTACAAATGGAAGATAGCTTTGTAATCTTAAAATAGCTACTCTGTCTTCAGAAAGCAGGGAACTTATTTGAACTGATCTAGCTTGGGGCAAGGGTGTCTGTAATGGGAAATCTCAGTGTGTTTGGTCATGGGGGTACTAGGGCTTTTTCCCACCACATATGCTTCTCATGGACAGTAGTCAGGGAACATTGCTGTCTTGTTCACAGCTGTTGCCTTGGCATCTAACACAGGACAAATGAGAATAAACTTTTAATTCCAATTGATTTGGCTCATTTGCCCTTTATTAACTTTTCTGTTAAAATTTGTTTTAGAACATTTTGAATTAGTGGGGAGAGTAATAACAGTAAGCAGTTTTCTGTAAATTGTAGCAAATAAACTTGTATTTAAATTTAAGATCACAAATTTCATTTAGGGTTCTGAATTACAAGTGCTATTTTAGTATGTTTTTGGAGAAACTGGCAAGCAGTTGTATTTGGGTTTCAGATACCCTTCAGTGCATTGCAGAGATGCTGCAGATAACCAAGCAAGCCATGGGATTAGATGTACCTATAATTGAGAAAAAACTTGAGAGGTAAGTATACTACTTCGATTTTCTCAAGAATAAAGACATTATTATCCAAAGTCTTATTTCTTTAAAAGTATTTGCAAGTTGGGGAGAAATCAAATTATGGTAATATATTGGTATTTAGACTGGGAAATGTCAAATTTCTGTGGCCATAATTTTAACAACTTTAAAACATACTGGCTGTCATTTTCTATAAATGCCAGTGGGTTTTGAATTTGGGAAAGGTATGCCTATAAAGAGATTATTTCACATTAAAATTTGGATTTCCCATCTGATTGTTTCCTGGCCCACATTCGACTGGAGAAGAGCCATTTGGTCATCTAGAGAAAAACTGTTCAGTCTTGTGTTAGTAGAGAGAATTGTTTCAGTAGCTCTTTAACATTCCTAATTTTTACGAAATACGCTCATGACCAGAAAGTCAAATATCCGTACTGAAACATGTGGCAAACAGCAGTCACTTTTTCTTATACTTAAAGCTGTCATGAGGGAATGCCAAGTGAGAAAACCCTTTATTACATATCCCATATCTTTTAAAATAATTGTAGGTAATCCACAGGAAACATAAACATTCTGCCCCCCTCCCACCTGAATTCAGCCAAGTTGGAATGGGTGCAGACAGCTTTAGTTAAGATGCTGTAGATTCCCATCTATAGTCTGTGTTGGCTTGGCTGGTGTTTAGGTTGTCCATGTAGTAGACCTGCCCTAAATGGTAGCCACTTGCTCTGAAAGTGACTGTAGTAGTCTCCTCCTCCCCCATCCACGTTTCAGTTAGCTGTGGTCAGCTGTGGAGCAGGTGATCCTCCTCTTGACGCTCAGTCACTTCATCTCACTGTGCAGGCATTTTATCATCTCACATCCTCACCAGAAGGGTGAGTACAGTACAATAAGATATTTAGAGAGAGGACGTTCATATAAATTTTATTTATGGTATTATAAATTATTAATCTCTTACACTCTGCCTAGTTATAAATTAAACTTTATCACAGATTATATATAGGGAAAAACATAGTACATACAGGGTTTGATCCTATCCGTGGCTTCAGCTATCCATTGGGGGTTTTGGAATATATCCCCCACAGGTAAGGGGGGAAACTACTGTTGTCTGAATTTTGGGTGTGGTGTTTTTGTTTTTAATTCTTAGAATACACAAAAATGCAGGTTGAGGCAACCATGGGGAGGCTTATCTCCCTTCCTCTGCTGCTTCCTCCTCCTCTGAATGCCAAAGAGAATCCAGTTGAAGGAAACATGCAATAATAATGATCAAATCTAAAGACACAGTTTTGATCCAGAAGAACTCAACATGATTAATCCAACTACTGTGAGGATCTTGACAGAGTAGGATTACGATTTACACATGTAGCATTTCCACAGGCTGGCTCTTCAGTGCACGGGCTGCCTGAGGACAGGACGCAAGAAACTGCCTACCGGACTGGGGGTTAAAGTCACACAGCCAGGGCACCCTTCCCACTCAGTGCCCCGGGACAGCTTGTCAATGTTTTAAAAGGCTTCTGCTGGCCTTTTAAAACTACTACTCACTGATTGCTTCAAAGACTTAGTAACAAAAAGAATAAGATACCTCATTAATCATCTTTTACTAGTGATTATATGTTGAGCTATTTTGTATATACTGGATTAAATAAAATCAAAATTTCTATTTTTAATATGGCTAGAAAAATTTAAAACTACATCTAGCTTACATTTCTGTTGTACAGTACTGTTCTAGCATCTACTCCAAGGGGTTATCTGATTTTACCACTTAGTGCACGGTTTCAGAAACTGGGCCCAATTTAAGTAACAGCTTTCACTTACTGGAACTGGAACTGGTATACTGGATTTCAGAGGGAGTTAACTGTTTTCTCTTCTAATTTGTAGGAAGAGCAGTAAACCTCATGAAGACATCCTTGGCATCAGATCTCAAAACCAAGGCTCTTTGGCACAGGGAAAGAATTTTTTAATGAGCAAATTTTCATCTCTAAATCAAAAAGTGAAACAGACCAAATCTAATGTAAATATTGGCAATCTCCGAAAGCTAGGAAACTTTGCCAAACCTGAAATGAAAGTGAACTTTCTAAAACCAAACTTAAAAGTGAATCTTTGGAAGTCAGATAGTAGTCTTGAAACTATGGAAACCACAGGTGCGATGGATAACAAAGTCCAGGCAGAGTCGGATGGGGAAGTGTCTTCAGAGAATGACTCCTACCACTCTGATGAATTCCTTACAAATTCCAAGTCTGATGAAGACAAACAGCTAGCTAATTCTTTGGAGAACGTAGGGCCAAGAGACTATGTTCTTCCTAGTTGTGGTATTATTGCTTCAGCACCTCGGTTAGGCAGTCGGTCCCAGTCCATTAGCAGCACTGATACTAGCATTCATGCTCCTTCAGAGATTGCTGCTCATGGAAGTGGGTCTGGAAAAGGCCATGAGTCTCCTTTGAAGAAAAGTCCTTCTGCTGACAACATACACATATTGACTGGCTTTGCCAAGCCTGTGGATATTTACTGCCACAGATTTGTACAAGATGCACAAAACAAAATGACCCAGCTGTCAGAAACAGGGTCTGTTTGTCAGCAGGCTAGTGAGGAGGGAAATCAAATGGCCAATCAAGCTTCCAGTGAAGAAACACAATCGGAATCAACAGAACGGATACCTTCCCGGCCGTCTCAATTAGATGTGTCTTTTTCTGCAACAGGTCCCCAGTATTTGTCAGTTGAACCAGTGCATCCAGTTGTATCTCAAAAGACCCCTGGCTCTGGACCCAGCACGCTTGAATTTGAGACAGGGCTTCATGGAACTCCTTCTCCTTCAGAGGGCGGTAGCAGCAGAGCAGTCTCTCCCTTTGCAAAGATTCGAAGTTCCATGGTCCAGGTTGCTAGTATCACTCAAGCTGGCTTCACCCAAGGGATCCATTTCGCAGTGGCAAAGGTTCAGAAGAGCCCTGCAGAACCTGAAGGGGTTAATGAAGTCCAGCAAAAGGAACTTAAAAGTATGTTTACACAATGCCAGACACGAATAATTCAGATTTAGTGTTTAGCCACAAAGAATCCTGTGGCTTTTATTTAATCCAAAAAGAGGTTTCACATATTAGGCTATTTTAACCTGTATTGTCTTTGAAGCTAGGGATCACAAATTCTGTTTATCGGGAAAGGTTTTTAAAGGAGTCTGAAGCTGAGCAGATTTCCAGATTTGAGAGCCAGGACGACAGGAGTACATCACCCTAGAAGGTGTAAACGTGAGTAGCTTATACACTACAGAGCATTTGGTCTCAAAGTAATTTGGGGATAATTACTTTGAGACAGTAATAACCTGAACCTTTTGTGGAGTGGGGTGGATAAGTGAAGTGTAGGAAGGAAACACATAAAGGATGAACATGGACACACATGTAGGAGAATAGCATTTTTCATAATTTGTCTTGTTTGTCCATTCATTTCTGTGTAAATACATTTAGTTTCTAGTGACTTTAGAGTGTTACTAGTACGAAGAAGCATTTGAATATTAAAAAATTCTAGTTTAGCTTTGATGGCTTAACCATTCCCTATTAAGAGTTAATTGAGGGTTACTGGCATTACAGTCAAGAAAGGTATGCCCATTTGATCCTAATTTTCCCCATAGTCTGCTTAAAATACTCTGCCCCTTGTACACCCCAAAGTCTAGAATTAAGACTGGTCACTCATAAAACCTGAGACCCCGGATGTGCATACCAGCACCTGTTAAATTATTTTGCTGTTTCCAGGAATGGAAGACTACATTTACTGGGTACTGGTTAATTCTTGAAATGAGTGTTCAAGTTGTAATTTTTTTACGGGGGAACATTCCTTAACATCTTGTACAGACTGTAACTGAATTGTTGAAAATTTAGTCTGAAGCACAGCTGTACTAAAACTGACATGACCATAATCCTGAACCCATGGAACCATGGCCTCAGAAAAGCCCATACAAGAACGTTGCACAGCTTATTCCAAACAAGTGTTGGTTTGTCCGGTCTCTTTAGAGCCTTACTCTGTTGAAGTGATTCTCAGTTCAACATTATGTCTATTGTAACTTTGATAAGTATTTCCACATTTGTTATTTATTAGTGGTATCTTTTTTTCGAAGTGTCAAATCTTGTGACTATTTAAAATAAAATACCATTGTAATTTAAAGTGACAAATATGTGTGAGAATTCCTTAATATTTTAAAGAAAATCAGATTAAAAAATTCATAAGGTAAACTGTAACTGATCACTTGGGTCTCAGCCTTTCCAGTATTTTCCTCTTTTAAGTGATTATATGACTTTACAAATGAAGTGCATCACAAACCACCAAATTTTAAACACCCAAACACTGAAACCAAATGCTTTATTCTGTTCTTTTTTTCTGGGTCTTCAAAGTATTAAAGTGTTGCACAATGGGAGAGAAAATATAAGCAAAGTTCAGGTGATACATGTATTTTTAAGCTCCATGAAATTTGTTCCAAAGAGATTTTTAAAAACTAAAAAGGCAACATTTAATTCCAGTCAGGGTACTGTGTTCAAACTTCACTGTCCAGTGTGTGGGCAAAGGAGAAAAGAAAGGGGGTTCTGAAGCCCACGGTTCCAGTCTCCTCCCCAAGTGGGATGCCACTAGGACGACACCAGGCTGTACCACCTCCCACAGTCAGCTTTCAGTGAAGATTTCCCAGCAGGAGGTAATGGGATCTTTTCCCACACATCATGGGATAAGTCTTACAATCATGAAAAACAACCCAAAGTACTAATAATTTGGGAAGTTTTGTTTATTTCAAAGAGGGTTTTCCTTTCAAGGGAACTTTTCTGCAAGATCAAGCAAATTACGTACTTCTCTTTGGTAAATTACAATTCACATCGGCACAATAAGCACATGGTAACTAATCTGCTTGAATTTTATTCTCACAAATCCAGTTGAGTCTTGATTTTATTTCTAAAAGGTTAAGGAAGTCTAGTCTACCAGTTATAAAAACGAAAACCAGTTAGAATTCTAAATATAAACAGATTACTTATATTAGTTTATAAAAATAGATTTGAGGTTAGGAAAAGTTAAACAACTAGTAATTTTCACTTCAGTTCATTAGGCATAATGAATTTCTTGGTTTTTAAGGCTAACCCTGTTTCCTTGTTTAGCAATGTCAATGGGGGGGGGTGCTTTTCAAAAGACCACTGAACAGAATCATTTAACTGATCTCCTGTTTCCCACTAGATAAGTTACTGGCTAAAAAAACACATTAAGCTTCATACATAACCACTGACAGCTTAAAAAAAGTTATGGTCTAAACTTTTCGAACATTCTTGATGCCACAAGTACACTATACTGTATCAACTGCTTTCTAGGTATCGGTAATGATATTTCTGTTATTTTAAAAACTATTACGTTAGGGGCACCTGGGTGGCTCAGTCGGTTAAGCATCTGCCTTTGGCTCAGGTCATGATCCTGGGGTCCTGGGATGGAGCTCCCACATCAGGCTCTCTGTTCAGCGGGGAACCTGCTTCTCCCTCTCCGTTTCTGTCAAATAAATAAAATCTTTAAAAAAAAAAAAAAACTAAAAACTTTTATATTAAATCTGTAATTGGTCTGGGAAAAACTTACCTAAAGCTTTATTGGGTATTCCTGGATTAGTAGGTATGTTCGTTGACTAACACATCTGGAACTAATGGAAAAACTTACACAAGTTTAAAATCCAATACAATCATCAAAGCAACTAAATGACAATTATTAGGAAAACAATTTAAAACTTTATTTTCTACAGAAGGCATATTTTAAAAAGTTAACTGTTTGCTTTCTTCCTATTTGGGCAAAACAACCTATCCTAGGACAACATTCCCTTAAGTCCCATAAAACAGTGGTTCCCAAATGCACAGGGGTGAAATGAGAAAAAAAGGACAATGTAGTGTTTTCTCCAAAAAAGCTGTATTTATTCCATTTAAAGGACTCTCTTATTTGGAGAGTGTCCTTTTATGGGAAAAAAAAAATGGTGATAATACAGTGGTTTCTTTCAGATTACTTGGCAAAATACATTGGCAACCCTGTCCCCCAAATTTTTGGAAATGTTACTGGTCCATGAAATCCAAAAGTCTGGGAACCACTGCCATGTAAAGACTAATTTTGCAGGTTATTAACAACTGTTAAGTGGAAAAAAAAACTTCTGTGGTCAAATGTCTGGGAAGTGATACTACAGTATTTCACAGAGTCATGTGAATTAATGGCAGCTACACCCCATTCCCCAAACTTGGACCACTAAACACATTCAGACCCACCATTAATTGGAAAAACACTGTAAAAATCTGAACAACTCCTCTGACTTTGGAATTCCAACAAATTTCTTCAAATGAAGTTGACATTAGCATTTCAACAGTCTGTGACCTATGACTTGGCTGAAACTAAGGAAATGGTATCAGCAACATTATCAATATTAAACTTTTAATATCAAATACATTTTGTACATGTTACTAATTTATATAATTATAAAACAATCAAAAGCTCCATAAAATCAGTAAGGTAAAAGCCCTTACTGAATATTATATAAACTTCAGATGTTACCAGGCTTGACTTCAGGAAAAGTCATTGGTTTTTGATACAAATTATCTACAAAACAATGTGGTATAAATGGTATTTGAATTTTACAATAATGTGGCTACAATCTGCCCACTACTCTCCTAGGTGTCAGATCTTTAAAGTTCATTTCCATTCACACATTTCTGCTGCTGAAGCCTGGTTCTTCTTAAAGACTCCAGCTGCTTTGCTCTGAGCCACCGCTCTCTTGACAGCGTCGTCTGGCCGGCACTGAGAGACAGGAACCTGGCGTGAAACACAGAAACGGATTTAAGTCTAGACCTAGGACAGGATCTCGTTCTTTTTCTTTCTTTCTTCCTTTGTAAAGAACCTAGGAATACTGGGTTAGGGGTCAAGACCATCTGGTAGCTACATACAAGTCAAGAGCAAGTTAGACTTCCACAAAGGGATCTTTGAGGTTTAGAGACAAAAAGCAAGCCTGTTCCGCTGGTCACGGGCCAAACTCAATCTGCCTTCACTAAGCCCTTTCAAAAGGTATTTTAAAGGAAAAACATTTCCACTGGTAGAAATCTGCCTCAGTTGCTCCTCTCAATATTGGGAGGTTCACACAGAGCTTATTACTGAAACCGCAATGACGGACACGTACTACTCACCGAGCTACAATGAGCAACTGGTGGAGATCGTCGGCAGTGATGCTCTGAGGGTCGTTCTTGCGCATTTCCACGAAGTCCTCCTCAACTGCCTGTATCAAGAGAGTAAGTGGACTGCGACACTACCGCTTATGAAGAGACGCTACGCATCAGTAGGGAGGAGCAAAGTAACGTGGTCCATCGGCTGACGCGAAAATGAGGAAGTCGGCCCTGCTGCTCGGGCTGCTTAGGAGACGAGGAGGTACCAGAGCCACGCCTCACCCGCAGGGAAAATGCTGCTGACAGACCTGGGGGCGCGGCCAAATATCTAGGTCCAGCAATGTGCACGGCCAGCAGGGCAGGCTAATAATGTCAGCAAAAGTGGCAGAATGAGGGAGGGCCACAGAAAATTCCAGGGACTTTTTATCCATTGAAGGGTGCAAGAACACTAGCAAAAACTATCAGAATCTGCTTCTTCAAAAGTCTGAAAATTAACCAGAATACAGGGAGTGTTTGCTCAAGAAAGAACACTGGGCTCTGAGGCATTTTAGTTTCCCTATCCACCCCCACCCCACCCCTGCAGCCCTGAAAAGGGACAGCCTGGCCATCACAAGAGAGGGTTCTTTCAAAGCACCATTCCTGAGATCTGTCATTCTCATGACTGGTGGTTCCCTGCGAGAAGCCACGTGCAAGGCTGTGTTTATTCGGCTTACCCAGTGTGAACAGCCTCTTCTCCCAGGGAACTTAGCAAAAACAATCAGAAGCAATTACTGATCATCCTGGCTGCTTCACGCACTGGACAGTCGTTGGGGCAAATAGGCAGCTAACCAAAACCCTTAAAAGAAAAAACTAGGGAATGAGAACTTTTCTCCTCCCAAAAGCCCCCAAAGGATGATCTATCTCTATCTCCCCAGGAACGCAGAAGGCCACGTGCGTGCAAAGGGGCGTGCACACCCTCAGAAGATCGGAGCAGGCCCTAAGCCATCATGAGTGACCTTCTCTGTGCAAGCAGTAAGAGAAGGGTGGGTCACAGTTATAAACAGTTGCCAGAGTGTTGAAGGCCTGCCCCCATGGAGACACAAAGCCCTTGGCTTTGACTGGGAGACCTGTTTCCAGGCATCTAAGGAAATTAAATTTCTATCTGATCACTGACTGAGCTAACAGAGCAGAGACTCCAGGAACCGCATACAAAGAATACATTTCATAGAGTTCATTCAGAAAAGCCACTAAGCAATAAGCAACAACAACAAACCCTAGGGAGAGGGAGGATCCACCAGAGCTGAGCTATCCTATCACTTAAATATCTGGTTTTCAAAACAAAAATGAGGAGACATAGAAAGAAACAAGAACGTCTGCACCCCTTCACTGGAAACAAAGAAGTCAGCAGAAACAGTCCTTGAGGAAACCCAAATATTGGACTTGCCAGACAAAGACTTTTTTTTTTTTTTTTAAGATTTATTTGAGAGAGAGAAACGGTGAGAGAGGCGTGCACGAGAGAGCACCAGCGGTGGAGAGGGAGAAGCAGGCTGCATGTTGAATAGGGAGCCTGACGTGGGCTCGATCCCAGGACCTGCAGATCATGTCCTGAGCTGAAGGCAGATGCTTAACCGACTGAGCCACCCAGGCATCCCTTAGACAAAGACTTTAAATCAGCTCTTTAAATACAAAGAACTAAAGGAAACCACATATTAAGAGCTAAAACAAAGTAGGAGAATGATGTCACACTAAATAAAAAATATCGAGATAGATAGAAATTATTTAAAAATCAAGTAGGGGGCGCCTGGGTTGCTCTGTCAGCTAAGCGTCTAACTCTTGGTTTCGGCTGAAGTCATGACCTTCGGGTTGTGGGAAGGGGCACAGCATCAGGCTCCATGCTCAGCGCAGTCTGCTTGGGATTCTCTCCCCCCCCCCTTCCCCCGCTCGCTCATTCACTCTCTCTGAATAAAGTCTTTAAAAAAAATAAAATAAAAAGCAAATAGAAATTCTGAAAGTGAACAATATAACTGAGACTTAAAATTCACTAGAAACAAGGCTCAGCGTTGTGCAGCAGGCAGAAGAAGGTCCAGCAAACGTGCAGAAAGGTCAACTGCAAATGTCCAGTGTGTGTAGGAGAAAGTCAAGGGAGGAGGAAAAATGAACAGAGCAGAGCCTCAGCGACTTGTGAGACACCAACACGTGCACCAACACTCATATACAGAGTGCTGGAAGGAGAGGAGGGAGGAAGGGGCAGAAAGAAATTTAAAGAAATAATGGTCAAAACTTCACCAAATTTCTTGAAAACTTCCCCAAGACGTGCATTAGTCTGCACACCCAAGCAGCTCAATAAACTCCAGTAGGACAAACTCAAAGCACTCCACACCCACAGACACATCACAGCTGAACCGTCCAAAGCCAAGTCAAGTCTTGAAAGCACAAGAGCAAATGACCCTGAGCCCAAAGAAGCCTCTCCTCAGAAACTAGCGGACTTCTCAGAGACCACAGGGGCCGGAAGGCAACTGGAGGACATACGTAAAAAGTGCTGAAAGAGCAAGTCTACAAACCAAGACCTCTACATCCAGTAAAACTAGTCTTCAAAAATGGAGAAATTAAGACATTCCCAGATAAGCAACAACTTAACAGGACTTGTCACAGCAGATCTGCCCTACAAGGACCACAGAGGGTTCTTCAGGCTGAAATGGAAGGACACCACGCAGTGACCTGAATCCACGCAAAGATGACCCGTAAAGGGAACGACATGGGTAAATATAAAAAGCAGTGTAAAGGTCTTTTTCCTTGTAACTTTTTCCCTCTGATTTAAAGACAACAGCATATTTATTTCCCCCTGCCTCCATCCCCCAAAACTTCATCATTCTATATGTTCCTACTTTATAGGTTGGTTCTCTGCATGTAATAAAGAACTTGATCCAAGTGAAAAAAAATAAAAATAAAAAAGACAACAGTATAAAACAAGAATTATAAATGCGATGATGGTGCACAATAGACAAAAGACATACAGAGACCAAATAGCAAACTTACCTCACCAGTAGTCACAGTAAACCTAAGGTGATTAAACAGTCTAAATCAACACAGGGAAATCGTTTCTTTGACCCCAAACACACCTTGGTTATCTCATCGGAGATGCTGTAATCCAGGAACCTCAGAAGGGTCAGGTAGATGCGGAACTTGTTCAGCACGGAGGGCAGCACGGCAGACAGAAGGCTGTCCATGTACTCCTCCATGTTTGGGGGGGTGAGCTGGGGCTGTAAGTGGATCTGGCAGTCTGCCTGGAGAGAGAACCAGGACACAGTATTTTCCAAGTTCCTAAGTTAATCCGAAATTTCAGGAGGAGGCTTTGTCCATATCAGGGGTGAAGGAATCAGGAGGTCACTGGGGGGAGGTCACTTTTTAACATTAATTATAAGCACCGTGACTCCCTCAGTGGTAATTACAAAAGCGAGCCTTTCTTTGGTTACTTACACATCCTCAACAGGATGAGTAAACACATAAAAAGGTAGCCAACCTCTAAACAATAGCTAATTAAAATGTTTGCAAGGTTTCTTTAATCCTGGAATATGTACTCTATGTCTTACTGATCTGCCTTTCTAGAAACCACATAAAGCAAATCACACTTTCCTGCAGAAAACTTACACATGGGCCACACTAGTGAACGCTAGTTTACAGAGGAACTATAGACCTTTTAAGCAACTGGGCGTACTTCTCATCATGAAGAAACTCAATTAAAAGCTCTCTTCATCAGTCACTCTAATGATTTACCAGAGCATTTCACCATAAAGCGTAAAAATAATCACCATGTCATCAGGAACATTTTAAAAGGAACTCTGAAATATTTCTCACATAAGATTGACGGAAAACAATGGGACCGAGGCAGTAAAAACAAAGGTCTAGATGTGAATCAGACAATTTATAGACAGCTTCCACTTTCTATGCCTGGATGTGGGAGTTGGGGCCACCAACACCTTTCCTTCGCTTGTCTGGTGATTTGCCGTATCTGCTTCTTCACAGACAGTTTTTCATCCTCAAGGCAGGAACAAAATAATTCATTCTCTTACTGATAATCAGCAGCCCCAGTTTTGAAACAAGTTTAACTTCTCAATAATAAACCATACCAAGAAACAAAATAAAAATTTAGGTATCTTTCTAATGTAACCTCCCTCCATCTTAAAATGTCTCATCATACCGGCAGGAGTGATCTCCCCTCCGAAGTAATAAAAACATTAATATTGCAGGGGAATTCCATCTGGTGATAACTGAAGTCATAATCCACCTTCTGCCAAGTTATTAGGTTGCTCAGGGCAGTCACATTATGAACACCTAGAAAATAAAAAAAAATAATTTTTTGGTTGACTTTAATCACTTAAAACAAATTGGTTTTACTGACATTGACTATATAAGACATGAGGTTTCTACTGCTTTAAAAAAAAAAAAAAGTATCTCAGGCACTGTTCAACTTCCTAAGCTAAATGTTCACTAAGTAATAGGCTTCACAGACAATACTGGTCAAGCCAAACAAATGTATTTTGGGGCCAAGATCCCCCCAAATCTAATCTAGCATCTGGTATGCAACTGGGCACAAGCCAGGTTCCCAGTAAGCACAATCACTTTCTATGTGGTGTGTTCACAGGTCTGCAACAATATGGTAGAATTGATGACTGATTTTTATACTCAGCTGTGCCTTAAGGATAGCCCGTCCACACTATTTTTTCTTCTACCTTTACCTCTTGAACTTACCGCCAGCAAAGTGTCTTCTCAATCCTCATTTGAGCACAAATAAAGCAATCTGCTTCCTTGCCATTTTATAACAAGTTCCCATAACTGAGGTTACTTCAAACCTTCCAACCTATTTTTTTTTTCAGAGATTCTTCGAAAAACAAATTTTAAACTTCACAATGGCCAGTAAAAAATGTTTTATTAGATCTTCTCTACACTTTTCTTTTTAGCTAACATAGGACTGAAGGCAAAATCTCCTCCCTCCTCGGCCTCTCAAGAGCTCCTTGTGACGTCCTTGTACTATCTTCATACTATGACAAAACACAGCTGATGTACACAGTCTGTAAGTTTCTAATCCCCACATTATATAGATTCATACGGCAAGCCTTGATCTTAAATACTTGTGAAATGTGAATGTATCTCGGATCGGTGATTCTTTTAAAAGTCATTACCAGATCTGGCTTTCACGGCAGGTTAGACATGAAGGGAGACGCCCCCCTGTCCATACCTGGTGTGTCTAGCTGCCCTTGCTCTAGGAGAGTTTCATCAATCACAAGGGAAGTGTTGCTTGGGAGCTGGAGGAGCCCGCTGACCAGGCGATTGGCTGTATAGTCTTTGTGGGGGATGAATTTCAAATGGTTCATGTTCTCTATAGTCATCTGCAGACGAAAAGACTGCAAAGAGAAATTTTTTAATGAGCAAGGAACAAAGGTTCCCTGTTTTAAGAAAATACATATCGGGTTAAATACTTTCCATATGTGTATAAGGAAAGGTCTTATCAATTTCTAAGGATGTAGTTTCCTGGCTTCTTGAGCTCTTAAAGCAAAAATTTTACATATACACCTTAAATAATAAACCTACATCTTAAATAAGAATTGCACTAATTCTATGAGCTGTTTTATTCTCAACTGTTTTGTTCAGTATTCTTAAATAATTTCTATTTTACCAGCGAACCAGAAACGAACGATAGATACTTCAGATACATTTACCAAGTGTTCAAAAAGCTCAACTTCTTTTACCTACCACGACCGCAGGCTAGCAAAACAGAAAATATTTACTTATTCAAGATGGGGAAAGAAAAGCTTCATTTTCTTCGGTGCTCCTCGAACTAAAATCACATTCATTCCTCAGACACCCGCAGACCAGGGAACACACTGTCCCGAGGAGCGCCGAGGAAGAGAGCACACTGAGCCGGGCCCAGGCACGGCGGGTCCTAGAACGTGCTGCAGGCTGCCTCCTAGTCCGATCTTAGCCCGGGATCTGTTAGAGCCCTCTGCACCCACTCTGCCTCCCCGCGCCCACCACTCAAGGCCCTCCGCACCCTGCTTCACACTCCACTCTCCCTTCCTATCACTCCAGCCTAAAAAGAAGTATGTGTGGTAAGGGTGGAGACCGGCGGTGGGGAGAAGGGTGCTGAGGAAGAGAGGAACTTTCAGAAGTTACAGGATTACTGTACTGTGGCTCAGTGATTCAAAGAAAATGGGCAGAGGGCTGGGACCACGTTATAGACAGAAGCAAACCAGCCCTACAGAAGCACAGTCGTCAGAACACAAGGGAGCCTACGGCAGGGTCTAGCTCCACGAAAGCAGAAGCAGGTCGCTCATACTGAACCCACTGTGAAAACTAAACAAGATATGAACGAGCCAAGTGTTCAGAAAGAGTTTGGTGCTAGACATAAACACCCAAGAGGAATGGAAGGGAGTGGGATATGGTAACAATGAAAGAGTAACACAAACCCACTACGAAGCGAAGCAAAATGAAAAGATCAAAAAGGAAATTCCTCCCACAGATAACTTTCACATTTAAAACGTAACTCGTGTCCTAATTAAGTGCGCTAGGCGGCTGCTTGGACTTCACCCCCTTCTCCCCACAATCATCCCACACCAGCCACACCAGCCCCTGTCCGGCGTGCCTCCAACCTGCCGAGCACACTGCTGCCTTCAGAGCCCCCGTGCCTGTTCTCCCATCTCTCACAGGATGGACATTCCCCCCAACAGAGCCATGTGGCTTGCTCCCACCTGTGTCAAATCTCTCCCCAAATTCCCGGAAGGGGAGACCTTCCCTGACCACACTGTATACATGAGCAACTCCCAACCTAGTCCAGCGCCCCCTAGTCCCCTTCTCCTGGGCCTTAACTCTTCCCCCATGGCACTTCAACGACACAGTCTGTATTTGTCTACCACAATCATCTAAAATCTATTTCAGTAACTCCCAAAATGTGGTCCAGGGAACTCCCAAGGAGTTGCTGATTCACTTTTATGGAGTCCACGCGGTCAAAATCATGCATGGATAGAAGACCCATTTGATATACAAGACAGACCAAAGAATTTACTACAGCAGAGTATAAAAAGTTCACTGAGGAGATTACAGGTTTCACACTTGCAACTACCCTTCAAGAAAATGTCAGATGGGCAGTTTAGTAGTCTAGTGTCAAATACCCACAGTTATCCAAAAAAGGCCAGCTTTCCTTCATATACTTCATTCAAAACATCCTCTTACAAGAGACTGAATGCAGAAACAGATTTGACAATCCAGTGGTCTTTTCTATTAATCCAGATATTAAAGAGATTGGGAAAAATTTAAAACCATGTCACTTTTATCACTAATAAAGTTTTTTGAACTGGGAAAATAGCTATTGTTACAAAAATATTTTATGTTCATATGTAATTGATTTTCATGAATATTTTAGTATATTTTTAGTTTTAATTTCTACTATGGTACACTGGTAATAACAACAACCCAGATAAACTACACCTCTTCAAGTCTTCGATAATTTTTTCAGAGTGTCAAGTGAGTCAAGGAGTGAGAAATGCTGGTCTGTTTGGTCCACTGCTGTTGAAGGACCTGGAAGAGCGCTAGCATTTACCCTCCAATGACATGGTCACATGAATGATCTATTTTAACCTCTTAAATCTCCAAAATAAGAAGTGATCAGCATTGCCAGTCACATGCTCATTCCCAATGTCTCACCTCCACACAAACCATGCATTCCACACGCCCTGGCAAACAAGGCAGCTCAATTTTCCAAACAGGAATTAAAACTGGGGCAACAGAGATAAAGCTCTTTATTACCTCAGCTAAATGAATCATCCTCCTGTAATTAAGACTTACTTAAAGATTTAAGACTTTAATGCACACAAAGGATAGATACCAAGTTGTACAAATTGGCATTGAGAGAGAGCATGATTTTAAGGGATTTACTTGCAATCGTGTCATTAGACCCACAGAAATTCGTGCTAAGGCAGTAAAAGTGAAATGTTTAGGGGTGAGTATGTAAATTATGGAACCTGGCAGGCTTTGTTTCCCCTTAATAAGATCTATTAAAATCTCAAATCTAAATACTTGGGTTGAACAAAAGACAATTAGATGGATTTTTAAAGTGTGCTCAGGTTTCTTTCTTTCTTTTTTTTTTTTTTTAGATTTATTTGAGAGAGCAGAGTGAGTAAGAGAGAACACAAGTGGAGCGGGCAGTGGCAGAGGGAGAGGCAGAAGCAGGCTCCTGAGCAGGGAGTCGAACGTGGGGCTCGATCTCAGGACCCTGGGATCATGAACTGAGCCGAAGGCAGACACTGAACCACCCAGGTGCCCCACTGTGTTCAGATCTCTAATAAATATTTATATGGATCTTACTGCTGGAACAAGATGTTGAATAATCCGGTATAAGTGTTCTGTGAAGGTACTATTCCGTGGGCAACCACTCAAGTTAACTGTGAATTTTCCCAGTGGAAGAACATCTCTTCTTGTATACCTAGAATAAAAAGATACCAACCAGTACGATATTCAGGTTATTTCCTCATTTCCAACGAAAAGCAACCAAAGATTAGCACAATATTGTCATTAAAAATAAAGCAAATTACTCTGAAATAACAGCAATAAAAATAACAGCCAGTACTCATACATGGGTACTGTTCGTGGTGCTGTTGGGACTGTTCAGAGTGCTTAATGTCTCATTTGATTTCCAGACTCTCTGAGGCAGGTCAGCAGGACGTAGGAAAGCTGGATCCGAACGTACAGGGTTTGCCTCGAAAGTCTGTGCACTCAACCATTATGTACTGCGGTCTGAAGTCCTAGCCAAGGAAAGATGTGGAGTACAAAGACGCTGACTGCAGTGTCGTATGTAATAGAGGAAAACTAGGAAACCTAGCATTTAAAGAACTAGGACAACAGTCTACGATGAAATGCCATGCAGCCATTAAAAAGTTCATGAAGAATTACAAAGGAAGAATATTTAAGATATATGAAATGATAAAAACAAGATCGATGTTTATAGAGTACAATGGAGATTTGTGCAGGGATGTTCATATATGTAAACAAAAAAAGACGAAATGAACATGAGCCAAATGTGCTAATGGAGATCATCTCTAAGTGGGTGAGATCACAGACGATTTCCAGTTTCTTTATGCTCCTGGAACTCGTTGAAAACACGCGTTACTTCTGAAATCAGGAAGCAGAGACCTGCAGTGGGGTGGAAAGGAGGTGAGCAACTCTGCATACAAGTTAGATGTGTGCACGCCGGGCCTTGCAGAGCCTTGGGATGTATAAATAGAGATTTCAGAATGCAAAAATAATGAAATAGCTCATTTTACTCATCAGCCAGGTTCTTTGACTGTGGCTCTTCTATTTAAGGGAGACATAAACAAAAGGTTAAATGTGAAACAAAAAAGGTGGACAAAGGAATCTGTGATTTCGTGTAACACTTGTCACACTGAACAAATAAAAACCATCTGATGATGAAGCTAATAAACTCTAACACAGAGTTACCTGAGCAACCTTCCTGCTCTTTTCCACTTTCAACAGCACCCCCACCTGCCCTGCCTGCCACCGGGAACACGGCACTTACACTGTAGAGATGAGATGCAGTATCAGGTACTCAGCGGCCAAGCTGTCTCCCAGAAGGGCATGTGTGAGGAACCCCAGCAGCTCTGCTCGGACAGGAGACAATTCAGACATGAAACCTGAAACGACTGGAGAAGGGAGACCACATTCAGAACACACATACCAGCTCGTCCCGAGTGTCTCAGGCTCAGAAGGAAAAAAAAACCCAAAAAAACCCAAGTGGAACCTAGCACTAAAGTCAGTAGACAACAAGTGTAGACGCAAATACTGGTCATTAAGTGATGCCAATCTTCAAAATAAGACAGCTTGTAAACTTTTTTGGCCTCATTTTAATAAAGAGAATTAACATAAAGGAAAATGGGCCCGAGTCACAGCAACTCCTAGAGAAACTTAACCTGCGGCTCGAGGATCTGGCCGGCTCAGCCCCACCGCGAGCACACGGTGCAGACAGCTCCCGCACGCGCAGGGGCTCACGGTCTCTGGCTCCCAAGGCGTTAGCACTTACACTTACAGGTTTTGCTCTCCTCTTTGTTAAGGCAAGCAGGCAGTAAAGGATTGATGTGCTGCAACTTCTGGGCTAACACCACATGAATTCTTGGCACTAATGATGCAGGAGGGCTGTGCACTCTCTGCTCCTCGGCTGTGTCTGCGCATTCCATCGGATCCAGCAGTGAAGAGGCGTCCCTACGGAGACAGGAGGGAACCTCAATTCCCAGACACGCCTCTGAGAAGGAGAATTCAAGCCAAGAGTGGTTCCACCGTACAACTCCTTAAAGAATGGAAAATGGGAGACGCCTGGCTGGCTCAGATGGTTAAGCGTCTGCCTTCGGCTCAGGTCACGATCTCAGGGTCCTGGGATCGAGCCCCGCATTGGGCTCCCTCTCCCATCCCCCTGCTGTGTTCCCTCTCTCGCTGTGTCTCTCGCTGTCAAATAAATAAAATCTTAAAAAAAAAAAAAAAAGACCGGAAAATGGCTCCTTTCTCAATTGTCAGGTCACACAGATCTCAGGCAAGTTACGTCATACAAGGACATGTATGTGTTTTTCAAGAAAAAGAACACTTCTACTGAGTATGCTGTAACTGCAATTAATGGGATAGAACACATCACTGATAAAGAATATCTGTGTTTTGAAATCACCTTATCAGCTGAAACATGAAATACTTCATAGCATGCCTCAAAAACTGGGGTCTTTTTCTGAAAAGCCATTAGGTATCTATTATTCAGTGTGGGGATCCATTCATCTCTTATCTTGCTAATTGTTTTTCCTAAATTTTATTCCTCCACGACACCTCCCTCGGATAGTGAGTAGTCAAGCAGTGAAAAGGTGTGAGCTTTTCAGATTTGCTAAATAAATTAGCAGACAATGGATTTATCGTGATACAACTGAAACAAATCACTAAAATGTGTTTAGAACTTCAGACTTGACAGGCTGCTCTACAGTCACCCATTCACACGGCTCCCCTCCTTACACACAAGGACGGCGACAACCTTTATGTGGTCTGGACCACATGTTGGGCAGCGTCCTTTACTGTGCACACGCCAATTCAGTACGCCTCACCTACCCTGGTCTCCAATGAGGAAACCAAGGCCCTGCGGAAGTCACATGGCCAGTAAATGGCCACACCAGCTTGGCACCCTGAGCCATCTGGCTCACTCTGTGCACTAAGCAGCTTCAACCAGTGAAGTGACCGAAGCAGGAAAAGCATCATCACCAGAAACAGCCAAGACAAGCAATTTGCTATACTATTATTAAGGAATGCTATTTAAATTTCTTTAGAGTTGTTTAAAATTTTTGTCCCCCCTCCTTTATTTTTAATAGTGAAAAGTGAGTTATATCTTATAGGGAAACCAAGATGAATATCCAATACTCAACAAGAAAACTGTGTAGGGGTATATGACTCCATTCTTTTGGCAAGCTCAAAACAAAATAAGAAAGAATGAGGAAGATCTGGATTTTCAGGATATATTGTTAAATGTGGAGAGAAAGTGTACAGGAATACATGTATCATGCTTTTATATAACAAACAGGAATAAAACATACACGTGTCTACTTATTTTTACAAAAAATACAGGAAAGATGAAAGCAGAAAACAGGTTGGTTCCCTATGGAGGATGAGTGGGAACAGGGCAGGGGGGATGACACCCCTACATTCTTTGTGTATATTTGTGATTTGGGCAACAATGTCAATGTTTTCTATACTTAAAAAATCAAAACAATAAGGACAGAAGAAAAACTCTGAAGTGAAATGCAATGGAAACAAATGAGCTAACTACATAAAATGAATAATGAGCAAAAGAACCAAAGGGGAAGAAAACTCACCCCAGTAACTTTAGACATAGCACTCTGACTATACACCTCATTCTAAAATAAAAAGAAGTGGACACCAGGTTTGTTTTTTGCAGTGGTATGGATTACCAATTCTGAAGTTACCTTCTCTGCACTGTGGAATATATTGAGAATAATGAGAGTCAAGCTTCTTTCTGTTAGAAGAGGAGTTACAAACATGGGAAGGGAGAAGGGAGAGCATCTGCGTGCAGAATTAGAACTAGAAACACTGTGAACACACAGTTCTGATAGAGACACTTGAAAATACATGAAGATATATGTGTGTGGGTATATAAATGTGCATTTACTTGTATGCATACAGTGTATGTATATATGTATTTCCTAGTCCTGTCCACTAAAAGGGAATAAAAGCAATACCAATCCTGGTACCAATGAGCACACAAGCACTCAGATCTTGACTTTTAAATAAAATCCCTCACTAAAAGAAACTGATACTCCTTAGAAAAATGGCTGATACTGCAGCTGGAGCATGGGAAGGACAAGATGAGGTTGAAACAGCATAACGTGTCAGAAAAGATACGTTAAAAATGGGAAGGTTATGTCAGCAAGGACCCAGAGCCTGCTTACAATGACTCCCACTAGCCAAATGAGAAAATTTGAATCTCAAGCACCAGACTAACATCCACACTGATATAAACAAATTACTTAAATAAACAAATGAGAAGGAAAATCTCTCTTCTAACAGAATGGCAATAAACAGGTGTAGAAGGAATGATTGAAATAGAAAATCCCCATCTAGTAATAACTGAGTCAAGAATCATCAATGGAGAAGGGCACCTGGGTGGTGCAGTCGGTTGAGCGTCCGACTCTTGGTTTCAGCTCAGGTTGTGATCTCAGGGTTGTGACATCGAGCCCCCTATCGAGCTCCATGCTCAGTGCAGTCTGCTTGCGATTCTCTCTCCCTCTCCCTCTGGCCCTCCCACTCATGCTCACTCTAAAACCTTTAAAAAAAAAAAACACAAAAAAACCATCATCAATGGATATTAAAATAAGTGGATGAGGGACACGTGGGTGGCTCAGTTAGTTAAGTGTCTGCCTTTGGCTCAGGTCATGATCCCAGGGTCCTGGGATTGAGCCCAACCCTGGGCTCCTTGCTCAGCAGGGAGCCTGCTTCTCCCTCTTCCTCTGCCTGCCACTCCCCCTGCTTGTGCACGTGCACACTCGCTGACAAAATAAAATTAAAAAAAAATAAGTTGATGAAAGTTAAGATGAGTAACTGGATATTAATGTAGTCTCCAAGTATCTCCTTCCAAATTACTTATTACAAAGTGAAAAACAGTAACTTTATAGGACAGAAACTTGGCAGATGCCACCTTAACCAAACAATCAAAATTAACATCACCAGTAATGAGGCACAATGACTTCATGTGCCTCCTGATATGACAGCCTGAATCTAATCAGGAGGAAACATGACACTAATCCAAACTGAAATATTCCACAAAATGACTGGATGTACTCTTCAAAGGTGTCAAAGCGCTCTGCCATGTGAGGACACCGGAAGACCGCCATCTGCAAACCAGGAAATGGGCCCTCACAAGCACCAGATCTGTCAGCACCTTACTCTTGGACTTCCCAGCCTCCAGAACTGTGAGAAACGAATTTCTGTTAAGTTAAAAAAAAGGTGTCAAGTTCAGTAAAGACAAAAGTTGAGGACTGTTCCAGGTTAGTGGAACATGTGACCCCATGGATCCTGGATCAGGGAAAAAGAAGGAAGAAAAAAAAAAAAAAAACACCAGAAGGAACAAGACTGAGATAACTGGTAAAATTAAGTATGGACTGTGGGTTAGTGTACTATGTATTTATGGCAAAGTTCCTAATTTTGATAGCTGTACTCTGTGTAAGAGAAAGTCTTTGTTCTTAGGAAATATGGACTCAAGGGGTGCCTGGGAGGCTCAGTCGTTAAGCGTCTGCCTTCCGCTCAGGTCATGATCCCAGGGTCCTGGGATCGAGCCCCACATCAGGCTCCCTGCTCTGCAGGAAGCCTGCTTCTCCCATTCCCGCTCCCCCTGCTTGTGTTCCCTCTCTCGCTATGTCTCTGTCAAATAAATAAATAAAACCTTTAAAAAAAAAAAAAAGGAAATATGGACTCGAGTATTTAGGGGATAATGTACGCAACTTACTCTCATTTCAGATAAACACATACGTATATAAAAATGTGCCTATGTAAGAGCACAAGTGAATGACAGAGCAAATGGGGCGTAAGTGTTAACAGGTAAGTCTGGGTAAAGGGAGAAAGTTCTTTATAACTATCCTCCAGCTTTTCTGCAAGTTTGAAATTGTATCAAAATAAAGTTACCCAAAAAAGAACAGACTCACCTTTCATCATTATTCAGTATACTTAGCACAGGATCCACAGATAGGACACCATATAACTCAAGAACATCATTGACTTTGAAACAATCCCAGTCTTCATAGACCTGATAGGAGATCATAAGAAATCACATTGTTAGGACTAAATAACACCAAAAAAATCTAAAATATTAGTTTTAAGGTTAAAGTAATAATATCTTAGATTTTTGGGTCAGGAAATGGACCTTAAAGCAACTCTTTTATTTCATAAATTGAAACCAAGAGAGGTAAAATACTTGCCTGAAGTCATTCTCCTAGTTAGCAATTAACAACTAAAACACAGGACTCCTGACTCCCATACCAAGGTCTGTGGTCAATACACCACATTACTTCGAAGAAAAGGTTTTCCCAAAGGATGATGGTCAACTAACATTAGAGACACACGTTACTGGGCACTTGGGTGGCTCAGCTGGTTAAGCATCTGCCTTTGGCTCAGGTCATGATCCCAGGATTCTGGATGGAGTCCCACGCTGGGCTCCTTGCTCAGCGGGGAGTCTGCCTCTCCCTTCTCCCTCTGCCTCTGCCTCTGCCCCTCCCTCCGCTCGTGCTCACGCTCTCTCTCTTCCTCTCTCAAATTAATGAAAAATTAAATCTTAAAAAAAAAAAAGAAAAACCTGCATTACCTCAAAATCTATTAAGTACACACAGAGAAGGGGAAAAAAAACCAGGATTACTAAGGATTACTAACTTTGGACTTATTCACCAACTATGCACCATTAGGAGGATTAACACAAAACTCAGGCCATGAGGGTTTTCACAATAAAACTTTCAAAGTTGTCTGTCTTTGATGGACTCTAGTAACTATCAAAGCCTCCTCGGGGTGAGACTGAACTGAAGCATGGCAGGAAACTGTCCTCACTCTGGTCTCTGTGGTAAAGAACTGAAGGGCCATTTAAGTTAAAACCACAAAATAAAAGAATGGAAATTCTCAATGATCATTTCTGAAACTTATATTGCTTGTTTTACCTATCAGGATCAAAAAAACAAGGTAAGCAAGATAGAACAAACTACCAACAGATTATTTGCCTTCTATTTTATTTTAAATACAAACGAGAAATGGATTTTGATGAGAGAGCAATGTTGAAAATGTTAGATATTGTTGGAAGCTGGAAATGACATAGGAAGTACACATGAATTAAAAAACTGTACCACTTCTGTTTTCAAAATATTCTTCAGATTTTTTTTGAAGTGAGCTCTACACTCAACATATGGGGCTCAAACTCACAACCCCGAGATCAAGAGTCACAGGCTCCACTGAATGAGCCAGCCAGGCGCCCCATATTCTTCAATTCAAGAATGCCATGGTAGGCAGAACATGGCCTCTCAAAGACGTCCACATCCTAACCCCTGCAATCTGTGAATGTTACTTTACAAGCAAAAAGGGATGTATGTAAATTCAAGACCCTGAGATGAAGAGATTATCCTGGATTATCTGGTTGGGCCCAATCTAATCACGAAGGTCCTTAAAATCAGAGAATCTTTCCTACCTACAGTCCGAGGGAGAGGTGACTATGAAAACATGCTGGCTTTGAAGATGGAAGAAGGGGCCCCAAGCCAAGGAATGTGAGCACTCGTAGAAGCTGGAAAAGGCAAGAAAACAGATTCTCCCCCAGAGCATCCAGAAAGGAATGCAGCCCTAAGGACACCTTGATTTTATCCTCAGTGAGATCCATGTTGGACTTCTGACCTAAAGCCTGTAAAATGATAAATTTTTGTTGTTTTAAAAGCCACTAAAGTTGTGAATATTTGCTCCAGCAGCCAAAGAAAACAAACACAAATGCTAAGAGTACTCCAGGTTAACTTCCAAGACACATTCCACATCTACGTTAAGGTCAGGTGTATAAAAGGTTTAGTACCTTCACGAGGCATGCAGGGCCCTTCTCCCCTGGCAGTGGAAAATTCAGGTCAAAGGGAGAAGAGAGGTTCAAGAAGTTCAGCTGTTGGCCAGTAGAAGCTTCAGTTTCTAAACGTTTTGGCTCTCCACACCACTGAAGACCACCAACACTCCCTAAATTCAAAGAACAGCACTGTACTTAGTCATTTTTAAGGCTTCCTGGAGAGAAAGAACATTCCTAAAGAGCCTTTCAAGTCTGATATAAATGATGCTTCTGAACTCAAAAATTTCAAGCTGTTATAGTTCTTAAGGAAGTACATACGCTAACAAAGCCTTTGTCTGACCTAAAAGAGAACAAAGATTATAAAGATCTGAAAAATTTAATCATTTCTCCGATACAATAAAATGGCAAAAAACTCCCCCCTTCAAATCTCAAGTGTAAGTATTTTAAAAGTTAATATTTAATACAGTTACTTTGACATCTTTAACCTAAGAAATACATTGTCTACTGATAACAAACCCACCTTGGTAGAACATACTTTTTCTACTTATTACGCAGAATAAAACCATATAGCAATAAATTCATTTACCAAATACTTAGTAACATCCATTGTGTAACTAGGAATCAGACTAGTTGTTGGGGATACAAAGATGATTTTAAAAATGCCCTCTCTCCCTGAAGTGGTCATAGCTTAGGGCTTATAACTAATTAGAATCAACAGATAGTTTGCCACACCATAAAATATTGTTCAGCAATAAGAAGGAATAGACTATTGATACACGCAACAATGGGGATGGATCTCAAGTTTTGCTGAATGAAAAAAGCCAATCCACAAAGTGTACATACTATATGATCCCATTTACGCAACTTACTATTTTGGGGGGGGGGGTTAATGCTAGACCGGAATCTTTTTTTTTTTTTTTAATAATTGAAGTATACCTGACTATGCAACATTCTTGCAATAAAATAACATTAGTATAGAGATGAAGAATGTATTAGTGTTTGCTAGGGGTTAGGGACTTGTGGGGAGGGGAGAGGCAGGAGAGCAGTGGGCAGGACTCTAAAAGGACAACTCAAAAGATGTAGGCAATGAACTGTTCTGGATCCTGACTGTGGCAGTGGCCCCATGAGTCTACACATGATGACACTGCCCAGAACAAAATATACGCACACAAATAAGTGCATGTAGGAAATGTGAATCTAAGGTCGGTGGGTGGTAGCAATGTCCCATTTCCTAGTTATGATATTCTACTAGAATTATACAATATGTTACCATCAGGGGAAACTTATTTCTTACAGCTACATGTGATCTACACTTATCTCAAAAAAATTTTTTTGAATATATATAGCTTGAAAGATTACCTAGAAACCGACAAACAAGTTATGCTGTAAATAATGCACTCAAATGTACAAAAAACCCTACAGTCTAACATCCAAATAAAAGCAAAAAAGAGGAGAGAGCATCAGTTGCTTAGGTGATAAAAGAATTACCATATATCCTGGATTCTAATGTTACTTATTGTTATGATACACCATTAATTTTAATAAACATTTGGGGGGTGGGTGAAGAAAAAGAACACCCCCACATTTGTATAGACTTACTATAAAACATTCCGATACTAAAAACATTAAAATATGCCTTAGCTCTAAGGAAATATAGTAATATTAACTTATAAAATAGGAAAATATATGGTTAAATGAAATTCATTAGTAATTCTTTGTTTGCCACTCTCAACCCAATCTTACAGATGCCCCCTAACTAGACTGACTTGTTTGACCCCCTCGCCCTTCAACTTGCCCTCTGATGATGGTCCTAAAGAGAAGTAAGTGACTGGACACAAAGGTAGGAATAAAGACAAACTTATCTACCTGCCACAATAAAGACACTCACTGTTCCTAAACACCGTGATTGGTGAAATCAAGAATGAAATATGCCAATTCTGAAACCGTCTCATGCTCTTAGATATTACAACTTTTGATCCCCCTGCGTTAATCAGAATTTATTGGGTTTTCAGCATGTTTCGAGACAAACCACTACAAATGTGCGTAAATAGAACAAACAGAACCATGACTATTCTAAGGGCTCTCTGCTCTGAAGTTGAGGACAAAGTTACCTAGTGCACCACAATTTCATGGTTTTCCTCTATGTTTTCAAACTCAATAAATTAAAGTACCACTATCTTGGGACACCTGGCTGGCTCAGTCAGTTAAGCATCTGCCTTTGGCTCAGGTCATAATCCCAGGGTCAGGCTCCCTGCTTAGCGGGGAGTCTGCTTCTCCCTCTCCCTCTGCCCCTTGTGTGCACGCGTGCACACATTCTCTATGCCTCTCTTGCTCATGAATAAATAAAATCTTTAAAAAAAATAAAAATAAAAAATAAAGTACCACTATCTCAAAAGGAAAATAAAAAAAGCATGTTTTCAGATAAAAAAAAAAAACATTTTCAGGATAAAGTACTAGGCTTCCATATTACTTAGGAGCTGAGATAAAAATATAAAAAATGAGAAAAAGACCCTTCTCAACTAACCACCTGAGACTCTTACAAACTAATAGGAAAGCAGACACTTCTCACTAAGAGATGCCTAACTGCTCAGTTATGAAGCACAGTTGACCATAGAGTATTGCAGAAACCCTCAAAACTGTAACAGCGATGAACTTGAATGCAAGGTTGTCAAATCATTGTCAATTCCTAAATCTAGAGCTAAATTACACAACAATTAGTTCTGAAAACGGATCTGAGAGAGGAATGTACAGAAAGCCTGTTGGCACAAACTACCTGCTTGCCTGGCACCTGCATGTTGGTCTTTCTGTTTACTGGGCTGCAGGTCCATATCTTCATCATCTTCGTAACTCCTCTTGTGACGACTGGGAGTGTAGGACGTTGAAGGACTAACTCGAGCTTGGTTTGCATTAACATAGGCGTTAAATGAAAAGTTAAGGAAAATCTGCCATGACTTGAGGAATATACTAATTACAGGGCTAATAAAAGACTATTATTAATAAAAGATAAAAGATTCTAATAAAAAAGGCAATTTGGTTAAAATTAAAACATCCTTTTAAAAGACTGGACTTCCAGTTTTGATCATGAGAGTAGCAGCTTAACCTCATGCCCCCTACCTGTGCTATAAAGAAATTGTACAACTGGACAAAAGACTTAAGCAACTGTTTTCAGTCACTGAACACCGTAAGGGAACATAAGGTTATAATCCTTGAATAAGGAAACACACCGGTAAACTCCACAATCTTCCCAGTTTTCTCTTGGGAACATTTCCTAAACTGCAACAAAGAGAAGTGAAGGCCCTGCCCTTGCTGGGTAGAGAAACCGACCGCACAGTTCAGGGCTACTGAGCAACTGGAAGTTGCAAGACAGTAACAGAGAGGCAAGAGTTGCAGATAAAGACCCAGAAACCTGTGCAGGTTCCATCTGGGTCTCTGGCTGAACATAAAACCATGGATGTACAAGTCCTTGAGGGCTAGCAGGGACCAGCTGCTAGTTGGCTGGGAGTTAAGTGGAGATTCTGGATTTGTACAATACTGGAACTGGACCCTCATGAACATCTTGGGCACTTAGGTGTGACCCAGAAATAGCATATCTCATGAGTAAGGACTACGTCCTACAGACCAAGGGCTATTCCATACCCACCTTAAATCCCAAAATCAAGCCATGACGTCAAAGTGATCCACTCAAATCACCTGCCTGTCGGAACAAAATGCCACATTCTTGGAAGACAAAACCAAACTCTACAATGCTGTACATCAGCATACAGGAACACATTACTAGTTATATATGAAGAGGCAAGAAAATATGACTTACAATCAGGATTAAAAATAATCAATAAAAACAAACACAGAGATGACTCTGATATTGGTATTAGCAGACAAGGACACTAAAAAGACAATCTAAAATTCACCATTTTTTTTATATATAGCCTTTATTACGTTGAGGTATGTTCCCTCTAAACCTTAAAATTTACAATTTTAAAAGTCAAGATAGACAAGGTGCACCTGGGGTGGCTCAGTTGGTTAAGCATCTGCCTTTGGCTCAGGTCATGATCCCAGGGTCTGGGATGGAGTCCCCCATCACGCTCCCTGCTCAGCAGGGAGTCTGCTTCTCCCTCTCCCTCTGCCCCTCCCCAATGCTCGTCGTGCTCGCTCTCTCTCTCAAATAAACAGTTAAAATCTTAAAAACAGATAAGAGGAGTCAAAGATGAGGAATGTTAGCAGGGAAATGGGAACAATGAAAAAGAACCAAATGAAAAATCAAAAACTGAAAAATAAGATATCTGAAATGAAAAACAAAACCAAAAAAACCCCAGAATCTCAGTCACCTGGAGGACAGTAACATCTAATGATTATGTGACTGAATCCCCAGAAAATGAGACAATGACAAGAGACTGGGACAGAAAAACATTTGAAGAAATAAAGCTGAAACCTGAAAAATACCAGGCCACAGATCCAAAACTTCAAAAATACCCAAGCAAGATAAACACAAAAATACCCACACCCAGCCACATCACAGTCAAACTGCTGAAAACCACAGAGAGAAAGAGAACATCAGAAGCAGCCGGAGAAAAATCAAAGGTGTTAAACACAAGGATACAGTAAAATGATGGCTACCGTTTCATCAAAAAGCAATGGGGGCCAGGGGCACCTAGGTGGCACAACTAGTTGAGCATCTGATTCTCAATTTCGGCTCAGATCATTATCTCAGGGTCGGGGACTGCAAACAGGAGGGGCGCCTGGGTGGTTCAGTCGTTAAGTGTCTGCCTTCCGCTTGGGTCATGATCCCAGGGTCCTGGGATCGAGCCCTGCCTCGGGCTCCCTGCTTGGCGGGGAGCCTGCTTCTCCCTCTCCCACTCCCCCTGCTTGTGTTACCTCTCTTGCTGTCTCTCTGTCAAATAAATAAATTCTTAAAAAAAAATAAAGCAAACAGGATAATATATTGTGGGCTCTCCAGTTTAAGTACAAATGAAGTGTATGACAACGACAGCACAAAGAATGAGGAGGATGAATGGAAGTAAACTGTTGTAAAGATAAAGGAACAAAGAAGAAATCACAAGGAAAATTAGAAAATATTTTGAGTTGAATGATGGTGAAAACAAGTCAAAGTCTGTGGAATGCAATCAAAGCAGTGATTAGAAAGAAATGTATAGCCTTCAATGATAATACAAGAAAGGGAAGATTTGAAATTAATGATCTGAGCATCCACTTTGAGAAGCCAGAGAAAAACTGAAGCCAAACTAGCATAAAAAAATAAGAGCAAAAGTCAATGATAGAAAACAGAAAATTAAACAGTTGGTTCTTCGACAAACAACCACCAACACTGATCAAGAATAAAAGAAAAATTAATTAACATTACTGGAAATGAAAAGAGATTACTGCTAGATATCCCCCAGACATGAAAAGGAAAACAAGGAAATATTATGAAAAGCTTTGTTACTGACATAAATTCAGTAACTGAGACTAAATGATTTTGAAACAATTCCTTGAAAGATACAACTTATCACAACTGATGCACAGAAAAAACTGTTAAAATACCTAGCTGAAAATCTTCTCACAAAATGCCAGCCCCCACACTGGAAACCCAAATGCTCATCAAGTGGAAAAGATATAAACAAATAAAATCAGCAATAAAAAGGAACGAGCAACTCACACACACACACACACACACACACACACACACAAGAATGAATCTCAAATGTGTTATGGAGAACAAATATCAGACACAAAAGACTCTGTATGATTCCATTTTTTGGCACACAGAAAAGGTAAAATGAAGCTACAGTGAAAGAAATCAGGACAGTGGTTACAAAAGGAGAGTGAGGTGCCTGGAAAAAGACACAAGGAAACTTTCTGGCACAAGTTCTTTACTTTTACGGGTGTAAATTAAATGGGTGTGCACTTGTCCGCTGAAGTGCACCCTTAAAATCTATGCATCTCAGGTATGTGTGAACTATGCCTAAAAGGATACCAAGATGTTTCAACATCTCTCAAAAGAGCCAACATGTTGTTTTCCCTTAAGAAATGCAGAATTAGTTCTAATTTGAAACTATGTTTTTATTTAATTATGGTGCTCTTTTTTTTAGTACCTTTAAATCCACCTCAATCTTTTTAACAGTATTTCACTATAGGAATGTACCACAATTTTATCATTTCTCAACGATGCATACTTGGGTTGTTTTATAACCTTTCTTGTTTAGGACAAACCAAAAACACTTCATTAAAATAAAGCCAACCTCTGTAAATGAAGAACAATTTTTTTCCAGCTAACTTCATTGGTGTAAAAAGACTCTTTTTTTTTTTTTTTTAAAGATTTTATTTATTTATTTGAGACAGAGAGAATGAGAGAGAGCGAGTACATGAGAGGGGGGAGGGTCAGAGGGAGAAGCAGGCTCCCTGCCGAGCAGGGAGCCCGATGCGGGACTCGATCCAGGGACTCCAGGATCATGACCTGAGCCGAAGGCAGTCGCTTAACCAACTGAGCCACCCAGGCGCCCCAAAAGACTAAGTTTCTAAAAACTCGAAATTTAATTGTGGTTTCTTCAATTAAGAAAATAATCAGGGGGCGCCTGGGTGGCTCAGATGGTTAGGTGTCTGCCTTCGGCTCAGGTCATGATCCCAGGGTCCTGGGATCGAGTCCCACATCGGGCTCCCTGCTCCTTGGGAGCCTGCTTCTCCCTCTGCCTCTCTCTCTCTCTGTGTCTCTTATGAATAAATAAATAAAATCTTAAAAAAAAAAAAGAAAATAATTAGGAACCACTCAACACAGAAGAAACTTCAGATAAAGGATATTTCTTTTACCCATGTAGATTCCCCAGGCACTGGGACACAATAGAAAGTCTGTCTTTCCAAAGTGGTAGTTCGTGGGGAGTTTAAATCAACTTCTTGTTGAGGCTGTGATATATACAAAAAGTATATTTAAAATTTTATTAAGAAAAACAAAAATTTTAATTAGCAAACCACATATTCATGTTATTTACAAAACTATAGTAAATATTTCACGTTAAGAATTAACAAGCAAATACCAAATCCAAACTCATTTTTTAAAAAGGAAAATGGACATAAAATCATTTCACATGCAACCATCAATATACTACTTTCCCTCAAGTCTATAATACACAGCACCCTGTTACAAAATTAAATATTTTAATAAACAGTATACTTTATTAATTTTTTTCAAAGACAAAGCACTATCTCTTTCATAGACCACATCAGTATCAGCCTATAAAACAGGAACTTAATGAAATATTTATTAGCAGTAACTCTGAAAGGAAATTTGAGTCAGATATTATTCCCTAGAAAAGGAATGTTCCCCATTTCAAATATACTGAGAAAATCCTAAGAGGTAGAAAGAACCCAAGATGTAATATTAAAATATTACTTTAATAAGCATATACTACTTTTAGTACATACATTACAAAAAAAATCTCTTAAAAGTAAAATAAAATGTATATTCCATCTTGTGGGTTGGGGGGGCGGGGGGGAAGAGCCAAGAGACATCAAGTCTCAGCCTGAGCTAATATATACACAAACAGGGCTTTCTATGTGTTTCTTTCTTTCTTTCCAGGCCCAAAGTTTTCCTGGTTTGGTGCTTTTACTTACAATCTTTAGCAACACAATATGAACTCTTGGACTTCAGCAGTGTCACACATGGACAGACTCACCTATTTTCCTATTTCCAGATGCTGAGATTACTAGCCTATGGTGATACTACATTACTGTGTATTGATAGATTAGGCTAATATGACTTAGGGCTCCTCAAACAATGGACACAGTATTTATAAAGTTGACTCATTAGACTTGGCACCACATTTTACTTTGTAGAAACACTCTCAAAGAAAAAAGACATTGGGAGACCTCAAGTTCATTATGTGTTAAGATAAGCAAATCCATCTTTCACAAGTCCCCCTAAATAATTACAGGAACTTATATTTTTGTTTAATATAATCTTCGCAGCAACTTTCCAAATTAGGGCTGTTTTTCTGTCCAGATTGGCCCTGAATTAGAACACTTTATTCAATCAGGCACAGCTTCTATTGTGAATTAAGGTGTGGTATTAGGGCTTATAAATCAATCTCTTGAGGTTTGGGTAAGCGGGAGTCAGACTCCCAGAACGTAAAAAGCCCCAGATAATCTGATTAAACTAAGACTCTGGATCACCAAAGCAGAGAACCAGACCCAGAAGGAAGGTAACTCAAACTAAGGTGCCACCTTTAAACACCTGCCTGATCAATCCCCACCTGTGATACTTGTTTTTCCCCCCAACAATTGACAATTACCATCAGTTTCAGTAGAACCACAGGAAAAACCAATTTTAAAAAATGTAGATATACTGTAGTTCCTCTATAACTGCTTTTCTAGTAAGTTTCTACCTCAAGACTATCCCTTTCACAACCATAACTATATCTAGTGTCCTCTGCCTTCTTGCCTCTCCCATTACTGATACGTAAGTTTCCATTACCTCTCTTTATCAAAGAAAGTTTAAATTTATTAAAAACTTTTTTCCTCCTAGGAAAAGGCGGCAGGATTTAATGAAATTTAATTAAGCAAGTGTTAAGCCCTAAGTTAATCTTCCACTTTTACTTTAAAAGAATTTATCATAACCTCTAATTTTGAAAGCAAGTATAGAGACACAAGGAAAAGGAATTAGTTCTGTATTTTACAATACTCCACCTTCTAAGAGATTTTTAAAAGATCGAAAACATACCAGAGAAACTTAAATAAAAGGTAAATAAAACATTTCACATGACTTCTTAGAACTTTACACACAAAATACACTTAAGATCAACCAAAAGAAAATTCACTGCTTAAGAAGAAATTCTTATTAAAATATTTTATATGTCTTAAGGATACATACCCCACACTCTGCTACATCTCTGTATTTTCCAAAATGAAGGACCTATGATCCAAAACAAAGGATAACAGCATCATATATCTGAATCAAAACCACCTTAAACAACACAAGGATAAAATTAATACCAATATTTATAAACAGAAAGTTTCATGAAGAAAAGCAATACATACACGTGCTTTTGTGTTTCGGTTAACCGTTTCATAAACTCCCATGTAAAACTCAGGGTCAAACATATCCTGAATCATGCAACGAAACTTCACAAAACTGTTAGGTTTCAAATAATGAAGGGGAACTTCATTCAGTGATGGTACCTCAAAGGAAAACAAGTCAATAAAACACTCTTATCTGTAAAACGTGAAGCACATATACAGAGACTGTATATCCAGAACCACCCCCCACACACACACATACACACACCAAGCCCCATTAGGAAGCCAGTGATCTCAACAGTCAACACAACAAAAGTGCTAAGCACAAAAGTATTTTTTATGTTCTTCCAAGTTTGTATCATGACATCTGACTCTAATGTAAAAGGATGCTCTTCCTTAAGAATACTTCTCAAGTAGCAGAAAGTCATTTGCTTTGTTGAGCTCTTCTCTTAAAACTAGTACATGCCAATTCTCCTTAAATGAAGGGAATAGAACAAAGATATCTGGGACTCTCACAACTTCTGATTTTGGGGGGGGGGGTCTTAGAAAGTAACATGGTCAATTACTGCCACCTAGAGGCACCAACAAGAAGCACTGAATTGCTTGAATTTAAATTTCAGTCGGAAGAGGGCAAAATCTTTCAATACATATGCACTTAAAGCAGAAGACAGTACACATTAACGTATATAGTTTTAAATTTTAGTGCTCGCTTCAGAAGCACATATACTAAAATTTTATGTGGATTACGACTCTACTGCGAGAAACTGAAAGTCGGCCCAACCCTCTCCCCTGCAAACAGCAATAAACTTACCCATTTAGGAGCGTTATTTTCCTTCAGCTTTTCCTTAAAATATTCAATTACTTTCTTCTCCCAGTCAGAATTAACTCCATTTTGGGCTGAAAGAAAAATATACTTTTCAGAGCTAAAGGGACACGGCCTAACAACAGACTAGGGTCAGGTGACATTCTAGAGGCACGCCGCCGCACTGGGCCCTCAGGAAGCCGCCCTGCTAAGAGGGATGCGTATTACGATGCAGGGCAGCGCTGCCCTCGTGCAGGCTCTCAGAAGCCAGCAAACCTAGTTGAGAATACCCACAGAATGAGATATGAAGCCACTTGGACAAAGCGCAATGCTCTTTGAAAACATTTTTATACAGATTTTTTTTTTCTTTATAACTACCCTGAAATGAAAAGGTGCTCTAAAAAAATTTTTTTTCAATTTGGGAATAATTTCAAACTTTCAAAAAAATCAAATGAATAGTACAAAGAATACCTGTATCTTTGCTCCATGTGCTTTATCTAGTCCCTCATATATACATTTTCCTGACCCATTTGAGATTGTTACACACATCATATACTTTTGCCTTTAAGTATTTCAATGCCTGTTTCCTAAGAACAAAGAGGTTATCTTACATAACAGTACTGTAACCAAGCTCAGGAAATTCAAAACTGATACCATACTTTTTATCTAACCTATCACCATATTCCACCACTATCCCTGACTGCACTTCTTCCTCTTTAGTACAGGAACCAGTCTGGGATCACACATTGCTCTTAGCTATCATGTCTCTTTAACCTCCTTTAATCTGGAACAGTCCCTCAATCTTTATCTGTTTTATGACATATTTAAGAGGAAAACAAAACCTGTAAAAAACAAATATGAGGAATGCTCCTCACTTTGGGTTTGTCTGATGTTCACTTATGATTAGACTGCAGTTGTGCACTATCAGTCAGGCTGTTCCCTTAGTGATGCTGTGTCCTTGTAATGGTACCATCTAGAGACACCATGTCCACCTTCTCCTCACTATGATGTTCACTTTTTTTTTTAAAGAATTTTATTTATTTATTTGACAGAGAGAGCGAGACAGCGAGAGAGGGAACACAAGCAGGAGGAGTGGGAGAGGGAGAAGCAGGCTTCCCGCGGAGCAGGGAGCCCAATGCGGGGCTCCATCCCAGGACCCTGGGACCATGACCTGAGCTGAAGGCAGACGCTTAATGACTGAGCCACCCAGGCACCCCTGATGATGTTCACTTTAATCACCCAGTCAAAATGATAGCCAGTCTCTCGACAGTACAGTTACTTTTTCCCCCTTTGCAACTATTAAGTAATCTGAAGACACTTCAAGACATGCAAAAATTTTTATGGATCTTGCCCCAATCCTCAGATTTAGAATCCATTGACAACTCTTACAATGATAACTGCAAAATGATGAGAGAGGTGTTTTTAATGTCATGTTAAAGATAAGAAAACTGGGGCACCTGGCTGGCTCAGCTGGTAGAGCATATGACTCTTAATCTCAGGGCTGTAAATTCAAGCTGCACGTTGGGTGGATAGATTACTTAAAAATAAAACCTTAAAAAAAAAAGGTAAGAAAACCAAGGCTTTGGGGAAAAAAATTATGGGAATTGGCCAAGACCAAAGTAAATTACTGCCAGAATTAGGAATACCTATTTTGGGAGAACCAGCAAACCACATCGCTAGCCAATACTTCCACCATTCATATTCATCACTAGGTGCTACGTAGATGTGAAGTAAAGCAATTGTCTCTATTTGTTACAGAGCTGATTGTTAGAAATACTCATAAAATCCCACTAACACCATGCTTATTAGCAGGGCTTCCAAACACTTTTACATAATTGAGCAAGGTCTAGTTCTGAAAATGGAGGAGGGAAATAAACTCCTCAGGTGATTCTGATGTGGAATGAGGGTTAAATTCACCAGTAAACTGGTCCTCAAAGTGTGTTTCCTTGACCACCAGCATTAGAATCACCTGAGTAGGTGTTAAAATGCAAATTTTTCAGCCCATCACAGACATAGCGAATCAGATTTTCTGGAGGTGAGGCCTAGCAATTCATGTTTTAAAATGCCTAGTAAGTGGCTTTGCAGTGCCAGTCCCTTTCCGCTGGCCGTCCCCTCCCCTGGGAGCAGCCATGGCACCTAGCCAGAATGGCATGACCCCGAAGCCCCACTTGCACAAGGACTGGCAACGGTGCATGGCCCCATAGTTCAACCAGCCAGCACGGAAGATCCACAGATCCACCTGGGCCCTGTCTGGACCCCGGGGCACAGTGAGGTGCCCCACCGTGAGGCATTACACCGAAGTGCAAGCTGGCAGGGGCTTCAGCTCAAAAGAGTTATGAGTGACTGGCGTCCACAAGAAGGTGGCACAGACCACCGCGATCTCAGTGGATCCAAGAAGGCGGAACAAGTCCGCAGAGTTCCTGCAGGCTCGCACGCAGCGCTACAGAGTACTACCCCAAGCCCATCCTCTTCCCAGGAAGCCCCTGGCCCCCAAGAAGGGAGACAGCTCTGCTGAAGACCTCAAACTGGCTACCCAGCTGACAGGACCAGTCACGCCCACATGGAATGTCCACGAGAAGGAGAAAGCTGGAGTCACAATGGAGGAGGAGGACTGCAAGCGTTTGGCCAGTGTTCACATGGCCCGTGCCCATGCTCAGCTCTGGTGCCCGGGCAAGCAAAAAGGGCCAAGGAAGCCGCAGAACAGGATGCTGAGAAGAAAAAATAAAGTGCCACTGGCAAATTGTGATAAAAATAGTATAAAGACATAAAATGCCCTCAAGTGATTCTGACGCACATTAAAGTTTGAGAACCACTATTATACTAGATGAGTGCCAATAAATGATTACTGAATTAGATCAAAAGAAAAAAAGAATGGGTGTTTTTGCTTCCACTGAAAATGGGTATTAAAGAAAAGGCTGATACACAGTCACAACAGCACATCAACACTGCTATTGTGACTGCATCTGTGTAAGGAACATGAACACGCTTGGGGGTGCTGGTGGGTTGGCTGGCCGGCTCAGCTGGTGGGGCATGCGACTTTGATCTCAGGGTGGTGAGTTCAAACCCCACACTGGGTGCAGAGAAAGAAAGAAAAGAAGGAGGAAAGGGAAAGGAAAGGGAGGGAAGGGGAGGGAAAGGGAAAAGAAAAGGAAAGGAAAAGGAAAGAAAGAAAAGTAAAAACAAACAAACAAACATGATCATGCCACCTAACAGCTGCTGAAGCTCCATTAGAGAGTGACTGGGAGGCAGTAAGGTACGTGTATACAGACAGGATTTTCCTAAGGCCATCTTACAAATATCTGGTACTGCTAGACAATTAAAGGATTCAACAGATAATAATAAAAAAAAAAAAAAACAAGCATGCAATAACTGTCCATTATTTATTAAGCCTACAGTGTGTCCGGCACTCCACTAGGTTCAGTAAGGTTATCAAGAGCTGAAGAACTTAAAGCAAAGAAAAGTGGTGAACAGAGAGTAACAGCCAAAAGCAAAGAAGAGAAACGAATGCAGGTCAAATAATCTCAGAGAGGGCTTCTGATGGAGGTGGTACTTCAGCCGGGCCTTGAAAGGGCGGCAGACTTGAAACATGCTGAGGTATAAGGAATTAGCGTATTCCAGACATAAATCAAGGACAAGGATGGCACTACCAGATATTCAAGTACACAGAACACTCAGTGCCGGAAGCTGCATGTGGCCCCTAGGACTAAGTTCTGTCTTGAAATTAAGCCATTCCAGAGAAAAACAGAGAAGCAGATTCCTGTAGACATGGTTTAATTATTTGGCTTAATTGAGAGCCTGACCTAACCCACTCATGCATTCGATTACCTAAGATAATGTATTCATCATTTTGAGTTTAAGTAGGACCAAGTTGGGTCACTTGCAACCAAGAATCCTGCTTATTAGCACACATATATCACTTTATCACATTTGCTATGAATTCTTGGCCATCTGAATTTGAGCACCACTGCTCTCAATCTTGATCTAGTTTAAGAGTCAAGGGAACTGAGGAAGAAAAAAATACACAGGCTCTCACCAACAGTGTATAAGCTTCTAGTTGGTTCTACCTCACCAGTACTTGATCTTGTCAATCTTTTTAATCCTAGTCATTCTGCTGGATACATACTGGCATGTCACTGTGGTCTTAATATGCATTTCCCTAATGACACTGTACACCTTTCATGTTTATTGACCATTTCAATAAATTCTTTTGTGAAGTGCTTATTCACAATTTTGCCCATTTTTTAAAAACGGGTTTGTTGTGGCATCAATGATTACACTAATTTTTTGTATATTCTAGACATAAGTCTTAAGTCAGATATATATGTAGGGCACATTATTTTCTGCTAATCTGTATTTTTAGTACTTTCATTTTGATGAAGTCCAATTTGCCAAGTTTTTCTTTCAGTTACAGACCCCAAGGTCATGAAGATATTCTCCTAGGTTTTTTATTTTCCACATTTAGGTCTGTAACTGACACCAAATTAATCTTTTTGTTTATATTGTGACATAGGGGTCAAGGCTCATTTTTTTCCAAAAAGATCCACTTGTTCCAGAATTAAAAGGCTTTCTTTCTAGCATTGAATTGCTTTGGCACTTGTGTCAAAAAAATCAACTCACTGTACTTACGTTAGCCTATTTCTACATTCTCTATGATGTTACACTGATCTATTTGTCTATCTTATGCCGTCTTAATACTACAGTCATACTGTCTTAACCACTATGGCTTGATCTTAAGTCTTAAAATCAAGTACTTATGTATTTCAAGTTTGTCTTGATTATCTTAACAAAACTAAGTCTTCTATTCTGTGAATTCTCCCATGGGAGAGAGAATAAAGGGACCTACACACGGATTCCTCCAGACTCCATCTGTCTCTTCTTCCCTTATGATCCAGCTGTGTCTTTACTATGCTGCTGTTATAAATCTTAGCCTTGAATACAAATATATACGGAGTCACAGTAAGTCCTTTAGTGAATCTCTAAAGATAGAAGTGATCCTGGGAATCCCAACACACGAGTATATTAATGGTTCGTTTCGTTTAATTGCTGAATAGTATTCCATGGTATAGCTGAATGACAATCTGTTTCTCCATTTAGT